TTTTTTGGTGGAAGGATTGGAAATGGCCCAGCACTGGAGCCTGGCCGCAGGACACAAGGGACCCCGTTGGCACCCGGAGGCAGGCAAGGCTGGGCAACACCCAGAGGGCAAATTCTGGAGGGTCCACACCAGAGGGGTTAGGTATGGGGAAGGTCAGGAAGAGCTGCATGTCTTCCCGTGTCACCCATGTAGTTCAAAGACAACCTTTAAAAAAGAAAGGGCGCTGGCTGGTGGGTGAGAAAGGGCTGGGTGGAGTCACCTGGAAAGGCAGAGCAGCAGGGTCCATGAGTACTTCCTAAGAGGTGGTCAGGAGGCAGGGGCCGTAGGAACCCCTCCCAGCAGTGTGGGTGGCACCTGCCATGTTCAGAGCAGGGAGATGTGGTTTAACTGTGTGCTCTTGGGGTGGAAAGGATAGTGTAGCACCAGAGGGAGGCAGAGGCCTTGGTTCCGTGGTCCTACAGCAGGGACACTGGGACATGACACCGGGAATTGAACGAGAAAAGATGATGGCAGCACACCCAGTAGGACTTGGACCATGGGACCAAGGCTGCAAGGATTTGCAGCATCCGACTACGTGGCTCTCTCAGTTTCAGTTTGACGCTGCTGGCAAAGGGGCCAAGGGACCCTGGGGACCCTATTCCCAAGGCCAGAGTGCGCCGCGGGGGCACAGGCAGAGTACCCTCAGTGCCCCCCCCAGCCCCGCCCAGATTACAGGCTGCCAGCCTCCCACTTCCCCATCCTCTCCAGGAGCCCAAGGCCTCTCAGCTGCCTTCATCGCCTCCTGAAAGGCACAGTTAGTCATTAGGAAAGTAATGATAGTGTTTTTCGGGACAGCATGTTGGACCCTAACAACTTTCAATTATTTTCAGTTCCTGGGAGGAAAAAAGTAGCTCATCTCCTGCCTCTGTCCTTGACACACAGGACAATCTGTGTCTGCTGGCATATTGTGGTAAATTAGCAGATCTCTGAAAGAGGACCTGCCTACCAGAGCAGCCCCACCCTCGGGTCAAAGCAGCTGGGCGCCCGGGGCGGAGCTGGCCCGGGCTCGGCTCCGCCCCGCCCCTGGACCAGCCGGCTCCCGGCCTCCGCCCGCGCCGCTGCGTTTCCCAGCGTTAGCGCCCTGCGTGTACTTTCGCCGTTGTCACCGCGGCCCTTCCCGTGAGAAGTGCACCCAGGGGCCAGTGTTTATAAATAACTGCATGGTGTGTTGCTGAGGGGTGCGGGAAGCAGGGAAGGAAGGAGCCACATAATTATCATCTGCTTGGAATGATGTCAGATCAAACCCTGGGAAGTCTCATAGCACGTGCCTTCCTGATTGTCACACGCATCCATGCCACCAGGGAGCTGGGGTGGCCACGTTATCACCGGCTGGAGCATCTGGAGGGGTGGGGATGGAAGCCTTTCTGACTCCATATTAAAGGGTTTAAAAGGGCAGGTGGCATGGGGGAGGGGTAGAGAGGAAATAGTTATGCACAGAAGCAAGTCCCAGTGGTAATTAAGGTTAATGTCCCCCCAGGCTCCTTTGCATGGAGGGAGGTCTAAACACAAGGACACAATTTGGGAAGAGGGGTGTGGGGGTATGTGCATTTTCCCTTCAGAAAATACTGAGGCAGAAAGCCCTCTTCATAGAACCATGCCCCCAGGCCACCCTTAGGGTGTCATCAGCCTGCCCTACAAGGAACAAGATTAGGAACTGGGAAGAAGAAATTTGGGGGAAGAGGTATGTGGATGGCTCCGCAAAAGAGGCCCCAATGCATGAAGATTTTTGTGTCTTGTATTGATACACTCCAGAAAGCACCTCCTCCAGAGGAAGTACCAAACTGCTAGGTTGACAGGATGACTCATCAGTGGATGCCAGCCAGTCCATGTGCTCAGCTACTCCACTGCTTATGCCAGTGTCCCATGAACAGAGTGGCCATGAGAAAAGGTCTGATGGCTATACATGGCTCAGACAGCATGGCCTTCCCTTCATCAAGTCTGATCTGATGGCTGCCACTGCTGAGTGCCTAGCCTGCCAGCAATGCAGACCAACGCTGATATGGTACCATACTTCAGGGAGACCAGCCAACCTCTTGGAGGCAGACGAATGACCTTGGAGGAGAGCGTGATTTGTCCTTACAGCAGTTGATATATACAGTACTTTTGTACAGGCTTTCTTTGTCCTATGTGTCTTCCAGCACCCCATCTAATGACTTAGAGAGTTCCCTATCTATTGACATGCTGTCTATAGAAGATTAAAGATGGCCACACATTATTTGATATTTCTCCTATCAAAAGCTGAAGTTCATGCTTCTCCTTGAAACTGAGTGGGTTCTTTGGCCAATAGAATAAGACAAGAGTGATGCTGTGCCAGTTTCTGAGGCTAGGCTTTAAGTAGCTTCCAATTCTTTCCTGAAATGCTTGCTCTGGGAGGAGGTCACCAACATATACAAAAGTCCAGCTGCCCCCAGAATGTCATGCTGTGGAGTAGACCCAGGTTCATCCCATGTAGAGGCTGAGTGGAACGTTTATCCCTGCAGCCTCAGCAATTCCAGCCATTTCAGCCCACTGAAGAGGCCTTCAGATAGTCCCAGACTTAGCCACCATATGACTACAACCATATGAGGGGCCAAAATGA